GACATACTTTGTCTTGGTCAAGAATATGACCGATAAGCTAATTTTAGGAGTTCCATTTATCTACCTCCTTTATCCCTTTACTACTAACAATGAAGGACTAGTCACCCTTTGGTCAAGAGGTTCAATTTAAATTCCTAAGTCCTCCTTCTCAAAATGAATTAAAATCAGTTATTGATTCTTCAGTAACAAAGTCAATAAATTTATTGCAGAGCAAGAGTCAACAATTGAATTTCTTAAAAGAAGAAGTAAAATATAAACGCATTGATGATCAATTAGCTGATCCAGTGCTCCAACAAAAAATTCAAGATTTTAAACAACAAATGAAAAATCAGGTTTGTTCTGATCTACCAACTGCCTTCTGGCATAGAAAAAGACATTCAGTTCAGCTACCTTACATCAAAAGCTTTAGGAGAAGACACATTCCTACTAAGGCAAGACCAATTCAGATAAGTCCAGAAGTCATGGAATTTTGTAAAAAAGAAATTAATGATCTTTTACAGAAGAAGATTATTAGAAAAAGTAAGTCACCATGGTCCTGCCCCGCTTTCTGTGTTCAGAAAAACTCTGAAATAGAAAGAGGAGTTCCTCGTTTAGTCATAAACTACAAACCACTCAATAAGGTTTTAGAATGGATTAGGTACCCTATCCCTAATAAGAAAGACCTTATTAGCCACCTTAGTTAAATAGTCATCTTTTCCAAATTTGATATGAAATCAGGATTTTGGCAAATCCGTTTATGGAAAAAAGATAGGTATAAAACTGCCTTCACCACCCTCTTTGGTCACTATGAGTGGAAAGTTATGCCCTTTGGATTGAAAAATGCCCCCAGTGAATTACAGAATATCATGAATGACATCTTCAATCCTTACAGTCATTTCTCTATTGTCTATATTGATGATATCCTCCTATTTTCAAAGTCGCTTGATGAGCATTGGAAACATTTAAAAACATTTCTTGCTGTCATCCAGAAAAATGGTCTTGTAGTCTCTGCTTCTAAAATCAAGTTATTTCAAACAAAAATCCGTTTTCTTGGTTATCATATTCACCAAGGACAAATTCATCCTATTGATCACTCAATCCAATTTGCTGATAAATTTCCAGATGAAATCCTTGATAAGTCACAACTCCAGAGGTTCTTAGGATCCCTCAATTACATTGCTGATTTTTACAAAGATCTTCGCAAGCAATGTAAACCACTATTTGAATGCCTTCAAAGTAATCCTGCTCCATGGACTTCTGTTCATACTAGCATAATCAAATCTATTAAACAGTATGTTAAGACATTGCCTTGTCTTGGCATTCCCACTACTGATTCTTTTAAAATCATTGAAACTAATGCCTCTGACATTGGTTATGGTGGCATCCTTAAATAACAAGTCAGTCTAAATGCACCTGAACAATTAGTTCGATTCCATTCTAGTGTTTGGACGAAAGCATAGAGTAATTATAGTACTATTAAAAAAGAAATTTTATCTATTGTTTTGTGTATTAGTAAGTTTCAAGATGATATTTTAAATCAAAATTTTTTAGTCAGAGTTGATTGTCAAAGTGCAAAATATGTTTTAGAAAAAGATGTTCAAAATATTGCTTCCAAACAAATTTTTGCCCGGTGGCAAGCTATATTAAGTATATTTGATTTTGATATAGAATATATCAAAGGCAGTAACAATTCCATTCCAGATTTTCTTATAAGGGAATTCCTGCAGAAATCTGATGGCAGACTGGTAGCCTCCCCTGAGGCCCCAGCTAATTAAACCTTTTGATATTTGCTCAGACAAAGCTCCAGTTACTATATCCCAGTCACAATCCTCTTTAGCATTAGCAGTTACCAACAGATTCCAACCTTTTGCTTCCCCATCAACTTTTAAGTCAGCCCTAGTTAATCCAACACCAGATCCTTTCCAAGTCCAACCCCAAATTCACACCCAATCCCAGATCCAACAATTCACTGCTAAAAAACCACCAAGTCTATATATTGAAAAAACCCCTACTTCCTCGTTTTTTAGTGAGCCACACCTTAGTCATATTAAAGACCCACTTGAATTGTCCCGCTCCTATTTTCCAAGTAACCTTCACTATGCCCTAGGCCATTCTTCTAAAACTCTTAGGTTTTACAGAGATATCCTGTACCATACTGAATCTATCATAGTCAAGACAACTTATGATAAAAATGATTCTTCCAAAGTTATTTACCATTCCCTGTACATCCGACGGATAATCTCCATGAATGAATGGGGCAGTCACCCTTACTTACCCCAACCATTACATGATCATAATATACAGTTTACATATTATGATTATATAACAGCCTGGTCATCCGTTCTCTTATATCAAAATGAGTCATTCACTCATTCATGTTTTATCAACTTTGATAGTCATTTCAAAAGTCAAATCCCTACTTGGTTTCTGAGATGGTGGACTCTTCATGGTGCTATTCCAGAAATCCTCCCCCTCTGCCTTGCAGATCAAGTCAAATCACACTGTTCACAAAGTTAATAAACATAGTTCCCAATTTCCAGTCCTCTTGTTATTTTGCAGTAAATACAAAGTCCCATGGATATTTAAATAGCAATATGATATCCAAGACAACATAGTCATCCGTCGCCACTATGTTAAATGGTGGGATGCTTTCAAATTTGACCGGATTATTGGGTATGTTGAAGATGATTATCCCAAACAATCCTCAAACCAAGTTATTTCACAGGTCAAACCTCCAACACAGCAAGTCATTCATCAGAAACAGCCTTCCCCTACTGATTCTACTATTTCCACCAAGTCACGGAAACATGCTCCCAAGTCAGAAATAAAAGAACTCAGGCAAATGGCAGCCTCACTGACTGATCGCATCCAAGAGTTGTCTAAAGATGAAGAAGAAGCAGCTGATGCTTCCTCTGTTACTAAATCAAGTCACCCAGTAGTTAATTTGTATGATGACTCTGTGTTTCAAGATAGTCAGAATCCATACCAAGATCCATTTAATTGAAAATTGATATGGAAAAAAAAGTCACTATTTCGTCAAAGTTACTATTTGCTACAGTAAAAGTCAAGAATGCTACGCAACCAGTCAAAGTCACTATTTCTACAGTAACTGTGGGTAGAATCACTATTTCTATAGTACCCCGACAAGATACTATTCATCTACAGTGAAAGTTACTATTCATCTACAGTCAAAGCTGTCAAAAGCAAAAGTTACTTTTCAAAAAGCCAAGATTCGTGCTGAAGCATCCTCCAACAGTACAGGAGCCTGGTTATAAAAGCAGTGCTCAGTCCCATTGCAAAGTAGGCTTCATCCGAGAAGATTTCAGGCTTCATAACATTTTCTTAGTTTCAAATTGTAATCTTCAGTTCAGTTTTATTTATCTTTTCTGAGTGTAATTCTATACCAGTATGTTGTATTTGTCAGACTACTATCAGTAATTTGTAAGTTACTTTCAGTCATTCTCTGTTATATTAATCTGTTATATTAATATAAGTTTGATTTCGGTTACATTTATATATATAAACTAACTATACTTATTAATATAACTATTTAATATACTAATAAATATAATATCCATAAATATACATATATACCTATATATATATGTACCAACATCCATGGGTAAATATTCGTACCCATTAATCTCCTATCCAAGTAGTCCATGCGACCCAATTGGTTGGTCCATTACTACTATCCATATCCGTTCCTTAAAATATAACATAAAATAAAATAATTAAAATCATTCAATCCTAACACAAAATTAAAATTAAGCAACACATCAACTAAGCAACACATCAACTAAGCAAATAAAATTATACAAACAAATTACACCTCACCAAAGCAAGCAAGTCAATTACCACATAATTAAGACAAATCATTTAAGCACACAATTAATGTAAACAATTAAGCAACTTAGCTAAATAACCAATTAATTAATTAAAAATGCAAGTAAAACAAATAAATAAATACCGAGACTATCATTTTAAAATTAGGGGTATTACACCGCAGGACCATTTCGATAGGCCAAAATAGTCACTTCGGTCAACCGAACCGTCCGATTGCTTTTTAGGCCACAACCGGCCGACCGAAATAGCCACTTCGATCGATCGGTACAGGAGTTATTCTGGCCAACCGAAGCTTCATTTCGGTCGACCGGTTTGCTGCTGATTGCATACATTACTTCTTTCTTCCGGCACAGTTAGTTACATGTTTGGATGGTTAATTGGAGTTTTAATGGATCACGTATATGACGTATTAATGATATAATAACACTGGACTTAATGGCATTTGACTTAAGTAACCTCGGGTTCAGATAAGGACCCGGTTAGCGATTCGGACCTACGGGTTCGGGTTGTTACAAAATTGGTATCAGAGCGATGGTTTGAGTACCATTAAGACAATGGGTAGAGGCCTACCTAGGATTGCATGGGGAAAATTGAATTGTATATTTTTATGCTTATGTGGGAGGTGTTAAATTGTTTGAGAAACATGCCTATTTGCTTACTTACTTGTTTATGTGACTACATGCTAATTGTTTAAAGTTGTTATTTATTGTTAACATGGTCATGCTTATCATTGGTTGGGGTTTTTCTGGGAGTGTGGAAAGTGTTTAAGTGTTGTCATCTCCTATTGAGTCATTCATATGAAGACTCCATTCCCGTGTGTATTCTAGTGTTATTGTTTTTAATCCGTTCTCTCGTTTTATAGCATCATCCCACCACAAAGGGATCCCGGTGAGAGTTCTAGTTCCAATCCCATGGAGAATAATCATGAGCAGATTGGGGAGGATGTTTTGTTGCGTGACTTGGTTCCGCCAAGAGGGAAACAATCAAGGGGAAACGTTGATCCACATCTTTAGATAAGTGAGGAGCAGTTGAAGTTGGCCGTTTAGGTAGCTCTTTTTTATGCATTTCGGCCGATAGGGGCGTCATCATCACAGGTTGTGCCACCACCGGCACCACCTCTAAAGAAAAGTGAGTCGGGTGAGACTCTTTACCACATCACTAAGTTCGTGAAACTGATGCCGACTTTATTTGAGGGCGGTCCAGATCCGCTTGTTGTGGATAGTTTCATGGATAGGTTGGAGAAGCACCTTAATGCCATGAATTTGGTGACGGATAAGTTAAAGATCACATTGGCAACCTATAACTTTATTGGGGATGCTGAGATTTGGTGGAAAATCGTTTCTCATACCTATAATTTAGATACAATGACTTATGATACATTCAAGAAGCTGTATTATGAGAAGTATTTTCTAGCACCTAAGCAGAGAGAGCTAAATAAAGAGTTTGATGGGTTGAAGCAGGGGAATATGACTGTCACTGAGTATAAGAATAAGTTTACATCGCTTTTGAGGTTTACACCAGGGATTGCCAATGATGAGGAGGGGAAAATAAAGAAATTTGTCGATGGCCTCGACCTTACCATCAGGCCAATTATAGCTGCCTCAGAACCGATAGAGTATGCAAAAGTAGTACAAAAAGCCCTAGTGGTTGAGGCTGAAAGTAAGGACAGTAAGATTATTAGGGAGTCCTATAAGCACAATAGGAGTATAAGTGCTTTCTCCGAGGGTCAATCAAGTAAGAAGCAAAAGCATGAGCAGTCAGGGTTCAGGGGACAACAATTAGTCACATCCGCACCTACAGCTTCAGTGTCCATGGGGTCTTTTAAACTAAATGTTACTTGTTTTAGATACGGATAGCTGGGACATTATAAGTCCCAGTACACTCAAACTCAGGTAGCTCAAGTAGTTTGTTTTAAGTGTGGATAGTCAGGGCACCACAAGTCCTAGTGTACTAAGATTCAAGTGGCGTTTGGTGGGTGATTTGGGTGTGGCAGGCAGACCATAGGGTGAAAGATTGTCCACAGCGGGGCAGTGGTTCTGGCAGGGGTGGAAGTTCACAGCACAGGCAAACACGGTCTGCCATAGTTCAGTTAGGGTTTTGACCGCTACCACTACCTCAGCTGTCTCAGCCAGCTATGTTAGTCCAGAGTTCTCGACTGGGCAGAGGGGCTTCTTCGAGCGCACCTACTCAGCAGTCTAGTTATCAGACAGGTGGCCCTCAGGGTCAAAGGACTCAGGGTCGTATATTTGCATTCACTCTAGCCAAGCCACCATCTAGTCCTTCAGTTGTCAAGGGTATGTTTCTTGTGTCCCATTCTTGGGCTCGAGTGTTGTTTGATTCTGGTACTTCTTACTCTTTCATTACTTCATCATTTGTACGGGGCATTGGGGTTGGAGGTCAGTCAGTTAGACAGACCGCTTTGTGTTGACACGCCTATCGGGGTTTCGGTCACTCTTAGTAGAGTTTGTAGGAATTGTTCCATCATGATTGCCAGACGTGTTCTTGAGTTTGATCTCATCCTTCTCGAGATGACAAGGTTTGACGTCATTCTTAGGATAGATTGGTTGTCATCCTTCTGAGCTGTCATCGATTGTTTCAAGGGTAGAGTTACAATGTGTACCCCGGATGGGGATTGCTTCCATTTTGTGGGAGATCAGTGTGATCCTCTCACCCTTTCATTCTATGGTGTTAGAGGTCGGGATCGAAAGACATTCTTTTTGGCTAGCCTCTTAGCCGATGATGATGTTGAGAGATGTGGGGTTGATTATCTGTTGGTTGTGCGTGATTTTCTAGATGTGTTTTCGGAGGATTTGACAGAGTTGCCTCCACACCGAGAGGTAGAGTTTGCTATTGATTTGATACCTGGTACCGTACCCATTTCTATGGCACCCTATCGTATGGCACCAATTGAATTGGAAGAATTGAAGAAGCAACTTGATGGATTGAGGGTGAAAGGCTTCATCCGACCGAGTATGTCACCGTGGGTGCATCGGTCTTGTTTGCTAAGAAGAAAGATGGTTTTTTGAGGCTGTGCATCGATTACCAGAAGTTGAATCATACCACCATCAAGAACAAGTATCCTTTGCCAAGGATAAATGATCTATTTGACCAATTAAGGGGAGTCAGTTGTTTCTCAAAGATTGACTTGAGGTCAGTTTATTATCAGTTATGGGTTAAGGATGAGGACATTCCAAAGACAGCATTCCGTACGTGATATGAACATTATGAGTTTCTTGTCATGCCTTTTGGTTTGACTAATGCACTGGCAGCATTCATGAACTTAATGAACCATGTCTTCCACGATTACCTGGACCAGTTTGTGGTAGTTTTCATGGATGACATACCTGTATATTCACGGACTCGGGAGGAGCACGAGGTCCATTTGAGTATAGTGTTACAGATTTTACGGGAGCACAGTTTGAACACCAAATATAAGAAGTGTGAGTTTTGGCTACAAGAGGTAAAATTTTTGGGACATGTTGTCTCAGAAGGTGGAGTGTTAGTTGATCCATCGAAGATTGAAGCAGTTCTGAACTGGGAGTAACTTAAAAATGTTTTTGAGATCCGGAGTTTTCTTAGCCTAGCGGGATATTATCGTCAGTTTGTGAAGGACTTTTCCCATTTGGTAACTCCTATGACTAGATTAACCCGGAAGGGAATTAAGTTTACATGGAACGAAGCACGTGAGTCTTCCTTTCAGGAGTTGAAGACAAGGTTGACTACGGCTCCGGTATTAGTGATACCCGAGCGTGGCTTGGGTTATGTGATCTATTGTGATGCTTCATGCGATGGGTTGGGTTGTGTGTTGATGCAAGAAGGTAGAGTGGTAGCTTATGGGTCTCAACAGTTGAAGACACACGAGCTTAATTACCCTACTCATGACTTAGAGTTAGCGGCAGTTGTGTTTGCCTTGAAGTGTTAGAGACAGTACTTGTATGGCGAAAGATTTGAGGTATTTTCTAATCATAAAAGTCTCAAGTACCTTTTCTCCTAAAAGGACTTGAACAATAGACAAAGGCGATTGGTTGAAATCTTGGAGGAATATAACTTTGATTTGTAGTATCATCCGGGCAAGGCAAATGTGGTAGCTGATGCCTTAAGCCAGAAATCTCATGGGACCTTAGCCAATATAGCCATTCAAAAATGGAGAATGCTTAAAGACTTGGCAGAGATGGGATTGTATTGTTTTGATGATGGTGATGGCAATGAGTCTGCATTCTTATTTAGTCTTGTGGCTCAACCTACTCTTGTCGGGCGAGTGATTGAGTCATAGAGACAGGATCCGGACTTAGATGCTATTCACACTCTAGTCTCTAGTGACGAGACAGTAAAAGATTGGACCTTGCATGCGGATGGAGGTTTTCAGTTCAGGGGTTTGTTGGTTATCCCTACAGTCTATCATGAAGAAGTCTTGCAGGAGTTTTACACTTCCTGCTTTGCAGTTCATCCAGGTGGTACCAAAATGTATCACAATTTGAGACGTCAGTATTGGTAGAATGGAATGAAAAAGGACATTGCACAATTTGTGGTTAGATGCCTTATTTGTCAGCAGGTGAAGGCCGAGCACCAGAGACCAGCTGGTTTATTACAGCCATTACTGGTAGCGTAGTGGAAATGGGAACAGATTCCATGGATTTTGTGACAAATCTTCCTAGGTCACAGAGGGGAAATGAAGCCATATGGGTCATTATTGACAGACTGACCAAGACGGCTCACTTTTTACTTATTAAGGCAACAGATGACGCAGAGGCACTTAGCATACTGTATGTGAAGGAGATAGTGAGGCTACACGGAGTTCCAGTAGCTATTGTTTCTAATAGGGATGCCAAGTTCACTTTGAAGTTCTGGAAAGGACTTCAAGTAGCGTTTTGTTCATCGTTCTACCTTAGCACAGCATTCTATCCATAGATAGACGGCTAGTCAGAACGTACTATCCAGATTTTGGAGGATATGCTTTGGGCATGAGTTTTTGACTTAGGAGGTAATTGGGAGGATCACCTTTCACTTATAGGGTTTGCCTACAACAACAGTTATCAGGCAAGTATTCAGATGGCTCCATTTGAGGCGTTGTATGATAGACCTTGTAGGTTTCTTGTTGTCGGACTGAAGTGGGCGAGACAGCCACCTTGGGACCCGACATCGTACTCGAGACTACAGAGAAGATTAAGCTGATTAGACAAAGACTGTTCACAGCTCAGAGCCGATAAAAGAGCTATGTGATTGGGCGGAGACGACCGCTATCCTTTGAGATGGGAGACCATGTTTTTCTTCTGGTTTCTCCACGGAAAAGGTTGATGAGGTTCGGGAAGAGTGGCAAGTTGTCGCCATGATTCATTGGGCCTTTTGAGATCTTGGACAAGGTAAGAGAAGTTGCCTACAGACTTGCATTACCACCACAGTTGGACAAGGTCCACAATGTCTTTCATGTATCAATGTTGCGGAAGTATAAGCCAGACCCGTCCCACATTCTTAATTGGGTTGATGTGAACATTGATGAGGATGTTTCCTTTGAAGAAGGACCAGTTCAGATCCTTGACATATGGTAGAAGATATTGAGGGACAAGATGATACCATTAGTGAAGGTTTTCTGGAGGCATTATGGAATTGAGGAGGCTACTTGGGAGCTTGAGTAGGAGGTTCGCTCCAAGTATCCAGCGTTGTTCTCTTCCCCAGGTATGGCTTGATTTCGGGGATGAAATCCTTTTAAGTTTGGGAGATTGTAATGTTTCTAATTTTCACCATTTTCCATTTTTCTGGAATTTTTGTTGTTGCAAGGGCATTTTCATCTTTTCTTGTTTTGCGTACTGGTGTGTGTCAATACCAAAGCACAAAATGAAGTATAATGTGGCCAAGTTTAAATTTGTAGATTGTCACTACCACTACTAACTATAAATGTAGCTAGAGTAAGTAGAGATCGTTTTAAGGGAAAATGGAATGTATTTAAGCTTAGAAATCAATGTCGGATTAGTAGGCCGAATGATCAAAGATGTTTTGATTGGTTAATTAAACTACAATGTAAACTAAATGGATGCAAAGTAAAGCAATTAAGGTAAAATGAGATGTAAAGAATATAATAGAGGAATCTTGGGACTTATAATTCACCACTAAGAATTACCTTCCTAGACATTCAATGTTTGATAGATTAAGGGGATTATATGTTGTAATACAAGTGTGTGACATTAATTGAATCAACAAGCATGGATGACCAAGTAAACACACATTGTCTAGCCAAACTAGTGAATAGCACAACATATTAAATTAAGCCATTATTCCTTCCTTTAAGTCTACAATTAATGCACATCATTAAATTAGAAAAATATATTACTTGCATTCATAAGTATGGAACATCAAACAACAAACATGGATTGTCTACCTATCTAAGAAAATAAGGCAATTACACTACAACTAAGTTAATGACATGAAAATTAAACTAATTAAACTAAGGAGGTGGCAAAATCTATCAAGAAATAAGTATGAACCATCATATAAACCACAAAAGTAATCTATTTAAGCACTATGCCTTGACCATCACTAGATTCATAGTATCAACACATATGGACATGCATCAATGTGATATCCCTCGGATCCGAGACACGGGTTGATCAGGCCCAGGCCCAAACCCGAGGGAATATCAAACAATTAATATTTTAAGATGAACACAGATGACAAAATAAAATAAGAATAAATATTAAAAGCTGAAAAGAATGCTAATATAAAATCCTCAACTGATAAAACTTAATAAAATCCAACTTCCAAAACCTCCATGATTACAACTCGGGAATCCATTTAGTGGACCCCTAAATAAAATCCCAACTGAACTGAAAACTGAAAGTAAATAAAACTAAAACATCGAGAG